CACTAACAAAAGTTGTACTTTTTGATGACCTTTAAAGTGATTTAGAATGTGTATTCGTTTAAATTCGCACCATTTGGCAACCTCTCCACCGTAGAAGTGAGGTCCCCTCCTTCTAAGAAAGTGGTTACGCTACTAATGAAAGTTGTACTTTTTGATGATCTTTTAAGTGATGTTTCATGTGTATCCGTTTAAATTCGCACCATTTGGCAACCTCACCACCGTAGAAGTGAGGTTAACCGGCTTCGGGAAAATCGAGGAAACGGAAAACGGTACAAGCGTAACAAGAGCCGTACTCGCAGTTGAGTCCAGGTCGCGAATCGCTGCCACCACTGCAACATCTGTCGTCCGAAAATCTCCGCAAGGCACCCCCTCCCGACACCCCCCTACACCCCCCTCTCCCTTGCGGAGAACCGTCGGATGTTCGGCAATCATTTATTACCCTCCTCCGCAGTAGTAGCAGCGGCAGAACCAACCGTGACGTCATAATCTTGACAGTTCTGCCGGGGCTCGCGATAAATCGCTTACCTCGAGGATGGAGGGGGTGGCCGAAGGGTGGGGAGAGGGGGTGTTTTTACTCGGACAGTGGCATTAATCTGCGCAGAGAGTGGATCTCGAATCTGATTACGGGAATGGTTCCTGTTGTTGCGGTTATGACGTCATATCTTGTTCTAGTCTGTGACGTTAGTGTCGATGTCCCGGGATTGTAGTCAAATTGGGTAATATATTGAATGTTGATACATTTATTTATTGGTGCTTTAACAAAGCTGGGTTATTATCACCTAGAGCAGAGATCAAGGTATGCCTAGGCGATGTAATAAATGTTAAAGACACCTCTCGAATCGTGCATGTTCATATGAGGAACGTGTCTTAATTTTTCGGCACCTTGAAAGGAATAATTATTGATAGAAACAGCTCTTTAAAATCCTAAAGTCGACCAGTCCAAAATGTTTCACACTGAAAAAAAAAAAACACATTGGATCAATAGTCAAGACTCTTGAAAACATCGAAAAGAAAAAGGACTCTTGATTCAATCAGATTTAAGCTTAAATCAAAAGGAAATTCGCTCAAATTAAGAGGCTTGGTTCTTGATTTAAGCTTAAATCTGATTGAATCAAGAGTATTTTTTCTTGTCGATGTTTTTAAGAGTCTGGACTCTAGATACAATGTGTTTTTTTTTCCAGTGCATTTTATTTTTTCGTCAACTTCCGAAATTTTTTTCCATGATAATTTAGGCAATTTTGAGATTGCTATTCAATCTGAGCAAAAAATTCTAGAAAATATGGATCCTAGGATATATGAATTCTAGAAAATATGAATTTTAGAAAAATGGCGGAGGTCACAGAAACCTTATGTATAATTACAAGGAAGCAGCAGTCATTACCCTTTTCTCGGCTGTTGACCTATCTACCATGGGATGATGAGCTTCAAGTGACGTCATGAGTCGAAAAAGTTTCCCAAACTTCGGTTTGTCTGCAAAACGAAACTCCAGACATGTTGTTAACCATCGACCTAGGAGGCAGGTAACAGTGGAATGCTGAAGGCCCCGAAGCAAAAGATTCCACCATTGCCAAGATACCTGTGGTGGAGCAGTGCTCCAATTCCATGTCCGTCCTTTTTCTCCTACTCCGTGACCGTCAAAAGTTCTGGGATTCCTTTTAGATTGTTTCAAAAGTTCTGGAAAATGCAAATGATCCGGAACATTTCGGGAATTTTAAAAGTCCTGGGAAAAATCCAGGAAAATCTCAAAAGTTTGAACTTTTTTGTTCCAATTTCTTCCACTTCCTGACCGTCCAAAATTCCGAGATTCCTTTTAATTTTTTTAAAAGTTCCGAGAAAGATCCGGAATATTTCGGGAATTTCAAAAGTTCCGCGAAAAATTTAGGAAAATCTCAGAAGTTTGAACTTTTTTGTTCCAATTTTTTCTACTTCATGACCGTCAACAATTCCGGGATTCCTTTTAAATTGTTTTAAAAGTTCCGAGAAAGTTCCGGAAAATGCAAAAGATCCGGAAAATTTTGACAATTTCAAAAGTCCCGGGAAAAATTCAGGAAAATCTCAAAAGTTCCGGAATTCGCAACTAGTTCCGGGAAATGGAAGCACGGAGGGTCCCTTGTCTCCAGAAAAATCGCAACAAGGTGAATTTAACTGCATGACAACGGACCGACACCGTTCCGGAACGCGAGAGACAGGGAGGGAGGGTGTTAGACACAATAACGCGGTTAACAAAGGCGCGCGGGGGACAGGGACAGCCTCGAGGGTGATGTTGACCTGCAGGTCGGGGTGTGGTTGGGGGGAGGGCGGGGGCGGGGGAGAGGGTCGTCGGTTGAAACTTGGCCGTTAGTTTTCTCGGTTTGGAAAGTTTTTAATGATTTTGTTTGTTACCGCGGCGCGGCGCTGCTGCGGTTATTAGTCGCACTCCTGTCCTGCCGTGTTAAGGAAGAACGCCGTATGAACATTCGAGAGTTGCCAAATTTCCATTGATAAAACATATATTTTTAACAGCATTCATGCATATTTGTCCCTGAAATTTTCAGATATTCTACATGAAATTGCGTACAAAATTGCCTTAAAATTGTCACTGAAAAAAAAAAATCTCTGTGTATTTACTAAGAAAAGGGTAAAATTACCAAGAATTCAGGGTTCTATTTGATCCCAGTTTTTTCTTGGTAAAATTACCATTTATGGAATCGGTAATTTTACTAAACCCCGGTAAAAACGCCAATATTTTTTATCGACTGTGGTAGAATTACCGCGATGAAATGGCAAAGTTACCGGGAATTGATTACCAATAAAAGTGGTATTCTTACCTGAAGAAAACAGTAAAAATACCGGTTTTTAGGTAAGCTTACCAGTCTGTCTTGGTAAAATTACCAATAATTGGTAAAAAAAGAGAGATGGTAAAGGTACCAACGGACCTTGGTAAAAACGCCGAGAATTTTTTTTTCAGTGGGGGGATTAGATTCACAACTTTCTCAGTAAACTCGGTTTTTATCGGAGGAAACTTGGCAACGTCTGATGGTTCATACGGCGTTCTTCCTCAGCTCGGTAGCGTAGACCTCGGGTCGGGTCGCCGTCGGGTGCTTTTAATTAACTTTCGGCGGATTCCGCCCTCGCCTTGTCACTCTTTTTTTTCCTGTCATTCGGCGCCCCCGCCCCTCCACCCACTCGCCGGGCGGAGGAGACTTTAATCGTTATTCTCAGGCTACGGACATCTCTCTCTAGAGATCCGCGCCCAATAGGGTGAGGAGAATGATGCCGTGCTAAGGAAAAACGCCGTATGAACCTTCAGGCGTTGCCAAATTTTCTATGATAAAAGGCAAATTTCCTGGTAAATTTATGAACATTTTTCTTTCAATTTTTCAGATAATGTAGTTCGCAATTTTACCTAAAGATTTTGAAAATTTAAAGGAAAAATATTCATAAATTTCCTAAAAAAATAATCATTTTATCGAAGGAAATTTGGCAACTCTCGAATGTTCACACGGCGTTTTTCCTTAGCACGGCAGAATGGGCCTGTTACGAATTTCAGCCAGAGAAGAAAGAAGAATTATCTCCTACAGGCAATGGTTCAAAAAACATGATGAACGCATCGGGAAAGTTTGAAATACACTCCTAACTTCAAATTCTTCGCGAGAAATATGCGTTCTTTTAAGCTGCCCGCTTCAAAAACAATACTACGGCACTTATTGTTAGAGTGAACAGAAGTTTGATGGTATGAACGAAACTCCGGTAGGATGAGCTGTAATGATTGGTCAATATGACCCACCAATTACAACAGTTCACTGAAACGAAGTTTCTCGGCAAGGGGGCTGAGCCTTTCTAGTTTGTCATAAGAAACAAATTTTCATCTCGCTCTGGGTTGCAACAGGCTCATGTGCGACCATTGTGTTGGGCGCCTAGTCAGTTTATGTTCTCGCATTTTTCTACGCGAATTTATCGTTCATACAATCGAGAATTTTCGCACTAATTTTTCGTGGAGAAGAAGGAGTGTTTAAAGGTGGAAACGTTCTGAAAGCGAGAAGGAAATCACCTTTAATTGGGAGAAAAATCGTGGAATAAGAAAACAATCGCAAGCAATTTACCACAGTATCAGAATCTGAGGTCTGCATTTGTTGTGTTTCACCATCGTGCTATCTTAAATTGATCAGGGTTGGTCCATTGTGCCTTTACATTAAAGACGGAAAAGAGGGTTGAATATGTATTTTTTTTTATCTCAGCTGCGCTGCACGAGACTTGGCGAGTCCTTCAAAGGACTGTGAAGTTAAGCTCAGAATCTTCTAAAGTTTCAATTACATAAACTCTGCTCTGCCTCAAAAGCTTCTTAACGGAGTGAGCCCGTTTCAAACTTTTGATAGTGTTGGAAGGAAAGTTTTCTCTCACGCGAATCGCTCAAAAATCACACTTTGCACATTTCCATGTTCTGAAATCCATTTTCAACCCCACAATTCGAGCAGGGTCTAGATCATTTTTTGGCTTGCAGTTCGATAAAATACTTCGACGAAATGATAATCCTTACGTATCAACTATGGTAATTGATCACAAAAAATTCGGTTTTGGATCAATTGCCATGTTCGATACCTACAGCTTAGCCAGCCTTTGGCATTAAAATGTACTTATCAATTATCTGGGTATTGAAAACGGACATTTATCAACCAATACCTTAATGATATCCAGGATATTTTACTTTTAAAAGTTAATGAACGTAATGCAACTTTTACAATGCCAATGCGTATCATTGCAATTTGATGAGTTGACGCTAGTGGCGAGGCTTGAATGATCGATTATCGATATTATCAAGGTTTTCGCAACGAACACCTTGTTAATCGATTCTTAAACCACAGCTTCAAATGGAGAAATATCGATGATCGATCCCTCACGCCACGCCACTGGCGACTGCGTTGACCGCCTGCGACATACCTATTTTTCGACGTGACGTCATTTCGGGCCCCTGTCTTCAGACGATTGTTTAATTTTTGATGTTTCGTGTTTTGTTGATGCAGGCCCTGCTGCAGGCGCACGACGTGGTGGCGCACGAGATCTACGGGGAGGAGGCGGTGCGGGTGACGCCACCCCCCTTACCCCTGTACCTAAACGGAGAGGACGAGGCTGAAACACCCAACGGCGACGTCGAGTTCGAGAACGTCACACGGGTCCGACTCGTTCAGTTCCAGAAACACACCGACGAACCAATGGTACGTACTCACGAATTTGTCCACCCATGGCCTTGTCTCCACGGGACGTTTTCATGGGATTTGTCCCAAGTTCGAATTGCAGGAATGAAACTTTTGGGATTTTTCCCACTTACCGTCTCCACGGGACGGGGCTCATACAGTCCTACGACTAGTTTGCGCGGGACGATAAATTAATTAAAGTCAAGTATTGAACCGGGGTTAAAATAATAATTGCACTCAATTGACAATCAGACACATTAATTTAACTAAACAAACATTGACAATGGAGTAATGAATAAAATATCGCACAATTCTTTTTCACTTCTTCTTCCTCTCTCAGTGGGTACTAGGGGTACAAGGACCATACTATTTTTCCCAACTTCGTAAGTGGGATTTTTCCCAGGGACAAATCTCGTGAAACATCCCGTGGAAACAAGGCCTTAGTGTCTCTTTATACTGAGAGTAAAGACATTGCGAATCCATCTCTGATTGGTTCCCGTATTTTAGACCTTCACAGTCTCAGAAACGGGAATAAAGATCACAGTTTCACCAATTGCAAATATTATAAACTGAAATGGACCGGGACATTGGGGGTACGGCAAGGAACAAATGAAATGAGAGAGGGAACGGAGGTAGGAACTCGGGGATGGGTTAATCAATAAAGATTACAAAAAACAGACAAGGGACCCATTGGTCCATTGGTCTCGTGGCTGCGGGTGGAAGTTTCACGAAAGAACGTAACTACATTCCAGCGTTGCCTCATTTCCCCTTGCTAATTGCATCGTTACCAGGAGAAACTTGGGCAGTTTTAGTTGAAAATTTCACTGATTTTTCGCGTGACCGTATATGAAAACCAGGAAAATTTTGGACAAAAATTGCGCCTGTATTATTGTGTAAAATCAAATCTTTAGAGTCAATTTGGCAACCTTGGAATGGAGTTAAGTTCCTTCGTACGGAAAACGACGAATTGACGCAGAAAATACCCAAATATTCCAAAAATCGACCCCTCTAGAGCATTTGAAAGTCGGTAAAACATTATTTGAATGGCAGCATTAAAAAGTCCTTGATTACAGTTAATTTTTTTTGATGAAAAACATTTAAAATGTATCCTTGTAATTTTCCGTAAATATTTGAGACGAATTCAGGCAATACGCTCTCATTGCGTCCTTCGCCATAAATGAACTCATAATTGGACCGCATTAAACAGAAAGGAACGAAGCCACATCAGCTATTGTAAAATTTAACGGAGAAATTTTATTTTTTACGAGAGAATTTTTGTGCGGATTCCTTTGAAAATTTTAAGGAAGTTGCTTTGTGTTATGAAGAAAATGTACTGAAATTTGCACAAAAATCCGCACAACCGTTATCATGTAAAAAATTAAATTGCCCGGTTAAATTTGGCAATAGCTGATGTGGCTTGGTTCCTTCCTGTTTAACGCGGTCCAATTCCTCCGATGTTAAAAAAAATTACTTGGATAAAAATGTAATTTTAAAAGACCGAGTTGAAAAAACGAAAATTTAAAATGGGGAAGGGCGGAAAGAGAAGAGCAAATGGCAGGTTGATTAAAGTGGGGGAGGCCGGTTTGAAAGCTGGGTACCTGATTCATAGACAACTTCCGTGGTGGAGATGAAACTCATTGGGCTGACAGTTTCATTTCCTATCCAGTAGTACGTTCAAACCTTGAGGCGAATGACCGTTTCTGAAGAAGTGTGCGCCTGACAACTTGAACACCCCTCTGAATCATTGGGGAAAAAATGAGCAATGTTCTTTTTTCCCACGGAATCTGTTTTTACTCGATTTCCCGTTGCCTCAATTTCAGTGAAATGTGATTCAATTTATGCTTCAGTCCTTATAGAGGAACGAAGTATTCCCCTTTTCACGTTCATCGAAAAAGTTGATGGATTTCGTTTTTTTTCTTTATGGTAAACTGACAATGAGACAATATATTCTGAAGACCTCGCACTAGCAATTTTGTCAATGTAACGGAGTGAATAAATTGTTGAATTAGGAGGTCAAAGTTACTTTTCGCCAAATGATGATCAATAAGTAAATTGTTCCGCACAAAAATAAAATTAAATTCACTTGGCACTACCGTGCGCACCGTGATATACGCGCAACGCATGAGGTATCCTGCAGACTTGTAAGGCGCTACACTGCGCTGCGCGCACCGTGCTGTGCGCGCAATGCATGAAGTATCCTGCGGTCTTGTAAGGCGCTATGCGTTTCACATCGTGCGCGCCAGTCCCGCGCCGCGCCGGCTGCACTGTTTTTGACGAAATTATTCAAACTTGCGGCTTAAGTATTTTTAAACATATGTAAATCCTCTCATTTTCCTTTTTTCCCCTTTTCTTCTTTCTTTTTCTTCTCGACCGGCCCACCGGGGTACTTGGGGGGACCGGCCCACCAGTAGCTTCGCGACTTTTTGGTGGGCGAGTCCCCCTTCGCCAGCTGGCTAAGTGTTTAACAATAAGCTCGGTGCGCAGGAAGAATGAGCGAAAAATAAAGGGAAGGAGGATGTATTAGAGTCGGGTCAGTCGGCAGCCCATGGTGCTAAGAATTGCACGACGCTGTATGTCATTCCATTCATAATGGTCGATATGTTTCTTTAAAAAAAAACTGCTTCCGCAAGTTTTTCAACCAACTTCATCTCTGGAATATTTCCTAAACTTTAAGAAAAGCGACAAAGATACTGTTAAATTTTCCTTCTTGAGCTCTTCCAAATTTTTCTTGTGCGGTATTGTTGTTAGGCAAAATGTTTCTACAGATCTGGTTAATTCCTTTGACATTTTAAAACCACACACCTAGTGCGACACACAAACACACACACACACACAAAAATGTTTTATCATTCGTCGTCATCAGGCGAATATGGGCGTTTCGAACATAATTTTCACACTATTACTTAGGGAAGATAGCAGTGCTAGGCCCCTAAGATATATTGTCTCTGAGAGTAAGGTAGCTTTCACAACAATTCTTTCGAAGCCAGTAAAAATACTATCGTTTTAACCGTGAGTTGCATCGGTTATTTAATTTGCCTACCCAAGAATCCCAAGGTTCGGAATAAAAAATTCGCCTTTCCCGTGCAAAGCAAAGAAGGATTGGAAGGCATTTGACGGAAAAAGTTCCATTCTTACTAATTCAAACACATTATTGTTTTGCTACTCAATCCCCATTTCCAAGGAATTTCTGATTTGCGGACTTTACTCAGTAGTTTAGAATGATACGGATTGGTACGTAACACACAACACGTTCATCTTGGGAGTGTATTTTTTGATAGAGGTTCGCAAGATTTGCCTGGTCTTTTAAATTTAAATTCTAAAAAATTGATTTCTTCCCTCATAAAACATCTCAAGCCTTGCGTCACATAGATACTTTCTTTCGAATAGGTTTTTTTTACTCTTTCTCTCTTCAGATAAAGAAATAAGAGAAACAAAATTTCAACGAGATAGTGAAAAAAGTATGTCTCAACTTTCAAAGTATTGTTTGACTCGACAATGGGGAATTAACGGCTGGGTTGAAAGTCAAGCGTGAGGAATAATTCTAAATGAGGATTTTCTCCGACACCTCGGAGGTTTTGGTTCTTGCATTATTAGAAAGGAAGAATAAGAGTGAAGCTCTTCGCCCCCTCGGGCTGGGAATTTCAAAGCCGAGATGGCCTTTTTGTATTCATTTATGTTCCTTTTCAAGAAGCAAAATGTAACAGTATCTCTGTCGCTTTTCTTAAAGTTCAGGAAATATTCCAGAGATGAAGTTGGTTGAAAAACTTGCGGAATCAGTTTTTCTTTTTTTTAAGAAACATATCGACCTTTATGAATGGAATGACATACAGCGTCGTGCAATTTTCAGCACCATGGGTTGCCGACTGACCCGACTCTAATACATCATAATTTCCTTTATTTTTTGCTCATTCTTCAAGCGCACCGAGTTTATTGTTTAACACTTTGCCAGCTGGCGAAGGGGGACTCGCCTACCAAAAAGTTGCAAAGCTCCTGGTGGGCCGGTCCCCCAATTAGCCCGATGGGCCGGTCTAGAAGAAAAAGAAAGAAAGAAAAAAAAGGGGAAAAAAGGAAAAAGAGAGGATTTACATAAGTTGAAAAATACTTGAGCCGCAAGTTTGAATAATTGCGTCAAACGCAGTGCAGCCGGCGCAGCGCGGGGCTGGCGCGCACGGTGCGTAACGCATAGCGCCTTACAAGACCTCACGATACTTCCTGCATTGCGCGTATAGCACGGTGCGCGCCGCGCAGTGTAGCACCTTACAAGTCTGCAGGATACCTCATGCATTGCGCGTATATCACGGTGCGCGCTCAAGTCGTTGAAAAGTCGTATTTTCTTAGTGTCAAACTTACCCCGGTGTACACCATTTCCGAACAGTGCATACCGATAGCTTACAATCCTAGATCACCCGATTTTAGGTATTTCGCTATCCTGCATGTTTCCGGGTAAAACTATAATTTACGAGTGGAAATTTTTCAATTTGGAATGCTGTTACGCTCTATCATCCGGAAAACGCCGAACTTAGCTAAGTTCCAGAGAGAGAAAGTGGACTTTTTTTCTATCACAAATGTGGTAAAATTTCCAGGAAGATTTTCTTGGTTGCTCACTCGCGCAAAAATGAACTATGGCAATCCAATCTAACTTCGGCAATTTTTGTAAAATTACCTAGGTACGCCTACAGCTAATATCGAAAAATTACGGAGGCGCGGGGCGGGGAGTCCACCGCGGCACCGCGATTGGCTGGTCTGTTGGCGATTTCCCGAGTCGCTTCGAGGAGTCTGTCCGCCTCTGCTAGCAAAATTCCGTAAGAATTAGACCCGCACGTAAATCTCAATACCTTTGTAATTTCGGTTTGACCCATGGTTATAATATGGTTTCCACAAACGGGCTCTGGATGTTGGATTCTTCACGGGAAAATGTTGATAACTCACCGAAAAATGGGTTTTATTTATGGGAAAAGCATTGTCTGATGAATAGGGGTACACCGAGTTGAAATTATGTTTAAATTTCAATTTTGTTGCAGGGAATAACGTTGAAGATGAACGAGGAAGGAAAGTGCATTGTGGCGAGGATAATGCACGGTGGCATGATTCACAAACAGGCCACCCTCCACGTCGGTGATGAGATCAAGGAAATCAATGGAATTCCAGTCGCCAATCAGTCAGTCAACTCCCTCCAAAAAATGCTGGTAAGTAAAACTGTTCGAATTTTTTGCTTTAATTACAAAGATAACTACGGAAAAAAACGCATTACGCAAAATTACCAGAACCAGAAGAAACCAAATAGTAACAAATATTGCATTAGATGCAGCAAACATAGGTTCATGCAGTATCCTCTTTTTATCAAGATTGAATTCAAAAGAAATTATCTTAGAATAATTGTAGTTGAGTCAGATAACAAGTAATTAACGTTTTTACTGCACTACAGGATGTGATTGTAATCACTGATCGTTAGATGAATGATGTTCAACCGCGAACATTCGCTTGAAGTCTCTGGAATTTTTTCTCTGAGCAGGAGTCAAGCAGAGAAAAAAAAATCCTGAAAGAAGATGGTCAAAATAGATATTTGGCGTAGCTTTTAGTTTGGATGAGTTGTTACTAACGTAGACAGTATCTCGTAATTAATAAAGCTAATATTACGTATTAATATTTTTCTGACTTGGTGTTTTTCCATATTTGTTTGCAGAAAGAAGTTCGCGGATCAATTACCTTTAAAATTGTACCTTCATATCGCAGTGCTCCCCCTCCTTGTGAGGTAAGCATCAATTTGTTTTCAAATACTTAATCCGTAAGATTTTAAGTTAATACATCACTCAGAGGAAAGACCAGCTGTTCCTTGAATATACACGGTTCAACCGTGAGTCACCAAGCAGAAAAGATATATCCACAGAATGATTCTTAGAAAAGAAAAGGTTTACAAAACTTGTTTCTTTAAATAAAAAAAAAAAAAAAATATAGTGCCTTTGTTTTTGCCGACGCAGTAATCAACCGAGATTTATTCTGCCTGGCTAAGACCGCAACATGAGCATGCATGTGGATGTCACACACTTAATTTCTTCTAACCAAAAACGATTTTTTAGTTAATATTAATATTTAATATATACATATAATAATAGTTAATTTAATATTTGTCGTCTAAGTTTCAGAGGAGTTTTACTCGAAATTCAATCCAAGGAATCTGGAAATTTTGAAAAAAAATATGTATAACCTCTAATACATAACCTCTTGCAAAAATGAATCTTTTATCGGGAGAAATTCGGCAACGTTCGAATGTTCTTACGGCGTTTTTCCGTAGCACGCAGTGTTTTTCCCGATCCAAAGGTGCGAAGCTCCGTATAGTGGGGGGATTGTCCTAGCATTAACGTATTGCCCGCTTTTAAGCCGGTTAAGTGAATTATTCAGCGCGTTAAAGAGAGAGGATTTGAAACCCCCCCCCTCGGTCCATAACTGGCCCCCGTCGTTTCTTGCTTGCCTTTCATGTTTCTTTTCGTTGAGACTCCCCTCACCCCCACCACCCCTCATCCCCTCTTTCCCCTTCCTCACCACCCTTGGCTCGGCGTGAATTCTCTCATCGGTTTTAATAAAACATCGCGGCTCTTAAACCAACGAGGCGTCGGCAAAATACTCTTCCCTTCGTGTACGAAAGAACCTAACTGCATTTCAACGTTGCAAAAATTTTGCAGAGAGGTTAAATCTCTTTTGCAGAGAGGTTAAATCTCTTTTGCAGAGAAGTTCGAGATTTAATCTCCCTTCAAAAATTGCGTTTTAACTGAGAAATTGTTGAGGATCTTCTGTCCTGATTTTCCTCTGTTTACACGTAAAAAATCAACACTATTTCGGACAGAAATCTCAGTTACAGTTCTGTAAAAAATTGAACTGTTTGAGTCAATTTTGCAACCTTGAAATTGGGTTACGTCCTTTTGTCCAGAAAGCGACGGAAGGCTGTTCTAAGGGAAAACGCCGCAGGAAAATTCGAGTGTTGCCGAATTTCCTCTCTAAAATATTTATTTTCAATTTCAGGAAGGTTATGAATATTTTTGATTGAAATGAGATGTTCCAATTACATCGCGAAAAAAATTCTCTAAATAACTGGAAGCAAATCCACAAGTTTCCCAGAAAATTCGTGTGTTTTCTAAAGAAGTTTGGAACTGTCCGAGTGCTTTTACAGCATTTTCCTTAGCACGGCAGAATTAATAGTGCGTTGAATGTCTGCACTCGTTGCAGGGAGCATGTACGTATGACCTTAATGAACCTTGTCTCCAAAAATTTCACGCTAACCCCCCCCCCCCCCCCCCNTTCTATCACTCTTCCACCGTAAAACATTCTGCTTGAGTAAAAGGCAGGTTTTTTTTTTACATTTTCCATAGTTTTTTTTTGTTTAAATAATGGAATCATCCCTTCAACTAAAGATATATTAATGATTGTCACAAAACCTTCCCCTAAGGCTTAAATAAAACGGAAATTTTGAGGAGAACACATTTTTCCTTCAGCCTGCACAACACAAAAATAAATATATGCTACGATCAAAAGTCATTTTCAATGATATGTTACATTCAGATTCTAAAGCAAATGTGTTTTTATTTCACTACGGACAATACTTTAACCTCATTTGTAAAAAATAACCCCACAAGTGGCGACTAAAAATTTCAAATTCGAATAATCCTGTCGTTAGTCTTTCGAATTTTTCGCGGGGCAAAAATTTCAAAAGAAAAATTGAAACGTCAGTGACTATCAACGCAAGACCTACGCTCTCGAGGAAAAAAGCTTCAATATTTCAGAAAAATCAAAGTTCGAAAACGGTTTTTTCAAGATCACCGGAGTCCTGGTAATATTTCACAGCATTTTTACTCCTCAGGAGAATTTTCGACGTACGGTCAACACTTTAACCTTGTTTGTATAAAGTAACCCCGCAAGTGACAGCTAATTTCAATTTCAAATATTCCTGTCGTTAATTTGTCAAATTTTGCTCGTGGCAAAAATCTCAACGCAAAGATCCACCCGCTTGAGGAAAAAAGCTTCAATATTTCAGAAAAATCAAAGTTCGAAAACGGTTTGTTCGAGATCACCGGGGTCCTGGTAGTATTTCACAGCATTTTCAATCCTGAGGAGGATTTTTGACAATCCTCCAACCTCAGAGAGTAGTAACGGCGGCTTTATTTCATCCCTATCCGTGTTTATGTGCCCGCTTTCTGCCTTTTCTTCGCGCTTCGAGCAAGGATAATGGCTTGCTTCAGTGCTTCACCCCCTTCGCGTTATCATGGATTGAATGGAGCGTATCTCAAGGAAGTACTGCCCCCTGGTCATCTCTTATCGTCGCTTCTATGACGTAAGGGCGTATCTGGATTTTTCTCGTGAGCCCTGTTTTACATGTGAATCAATGGTTTCTGGGGCTCATGTGGAAATCGAGATACGCCTTTACGTCAGAGGAGCAACGTTATCTACCCCTTTTTCGTGGGCTTTCGAGCTTTTTCCCCTCAGAGCCGTTTAGAGTGAGGGTCTTAAATGTGGGTCATACCGCCGCAATTACTTCGACACTCATAAATTTTGGATGCATATTTTGCCGTGTGAGTGCCGTTTTGCCTAAATCCACTCTCGAGTTCATATGAGGAGCTTTTAAAGTTGAGGCCGCGATGGTGGTGAACTACCGTGCTTAGTAGGAACGCCGTATGAACATTCGAGAGTTGCAAAATTTCCCCGGAACATGAATTTTTGAGGAAGGATATGAATATTCTTTCATTGGAATTTTCAGATAATTTAGATTCAGTTGCGGACACAATTTCCTGGAAAGTTTGGGAAAACATGTTTATAGTTTTTATCCGTAAATTGGTTTTTAATTGAAGAAAAATGACAACGTCTGAAGGCTCGCATACGACGTTCTTTCATACTGCCGTGCTAAGGAAGAACGCCGTATGAACATTGAGAGTTGCCAAATTTCCCTTGATAAAACATGTATTTTTGACGACATTCATGCACATTTTTCTTTGAAATTTTCAGATTTTTTAGGTTACATTTAGTACGAAATTGTCTGAAAATTTGGGGGAAAAATATTCAAAAATTTTTAAGTAAAGTCGGTTTATCGAAAGAAACTTGACAACGTCTATACGGCGTTTTACCTTAGCACGGCAGCATAGCACGGCAGTATACAAGATGGGAGAGTCCATCCTCTTATTCAGTCAAAATATATGAATAGGGTCGTCATAATTCGTCGTTTCCCTCGCGAAAGAACGTAACTGACTTGCAGCGTTGCCAGTCTTCCTTTCGAGGAAGTATTTTCTCCTTTAATCCATCAATCACTCTACACAGAATATTTCGCAGATTTTCCCACATTTACTATGAAAAGCCAACCGACTTTTGGGTAGCGATTGCTCTGTCACTTTTGGTGAGATAAAATGTGTTAAAATGTGTGATTTTGCAACCTTGGAATGGTGATGCGGCCTTTCGTCTGAGAAAAACGAACTGCAGGCCGAAACTAGCGTACTTTCACTCGCATTGCATCTAGCGGGAGGGAACCAACGCGCCTTAAGTCGTTTTGATGAAAGCGAGTCAAAAGGTTTAGCTCACCTGTTTTTAAAAAATCGCTTAAAATATCCCTCAACTATTTACACGTTTCTGAAATTTATTTATTCCGAATTCATTGAATTTATAATTATAAAAGTATTTAATGGGACTAGCTCCTTTCTATGTTCTGGATTCTATGTTCTGGATTCCATGTTTTACATTCTGTTAAGCTCAATTATTTCTTTTGAGCTGCAATTTTGAAAATGGTTCTGTTAAACTTATCTCAATGTTAATGGAACCGATTATTTTTCAAATCACGTGACCGCCAATCTCTATGTTGGTGGTAGAGCGGTTGTTTTTTCTCTGTTTTTTTTTTTGTATAATTTATCATGTCTGATTTCAAAATAGCCTTCTAAAAGAACATACCTTTTTTGGAACTCGAAGATTGTCATAAAAGTGAATAAAACGGGGTTTCTCGCTTTTCTCGCACTTGCAATTTTGGTGCTTACGTGATTTGCAAAAGAATCGGTTCAATCGCATTGGGTTTCCCCAGGGAGAGGAGCTATTTAATGAACGACCGTAAACACGAGCCATAATCGTTTATCCCGCAAATTTCCGCGCGGAAGAGTCGATCAACACGCAAACCCCCAATTTTCGGGGGGTGGCTTGATGTGTCCGCGCAAATACCTGAATTGACATTTCCGCACAAAACCAGCCAGCAAATTAGATGAATTAGAAGGGAACATTTTACTAACCTATTGTTCACCGGGGATCGCTATACATTTTTTGTAAAATATAAACATACGTAAGTTGTTTCATTATCTGATGGCAAGGAAACTCTTGCAACTTCATGTAACTTGTGCGGAAAATATTTTGTGTGGAAACGTCGATCACAATCTTTGTGTGCGGAAATGTCAAAATCCCAGATTTAGTGCGGAAAATGCATACACTTCCTTTCGAGTCAGCCAGCAAATTAGAAGAATTGAGGAGCATTCCGGAAAAGGGGCACATACGCGTATGTGCCCTTTTTCCGGAAATGGCAGAAACGGATTCCTCGCATCCTAATGCACCAATGTCCCGAGTTTCGGCTTAATTGATCAATTTTTGGAGCTAAGAGACCAAGTTTTGGGAGGCTAAGTCAGACGTATTTCATCTTTTCGCCCCTGGGTACGGTCGCCGCGACCGCGAGACGTTGAGGAGATAGCGCGCAGGGCGCAGGCAGGCAGGTGATGGGTCCTGATATAAGTAAGGATCCCT